CAAGTTAGCCTGGTAGGGTCACCATCCAACAACCTGACTAGGCCCTTTAGATTTGAGTCAAGTGGGTTAGCCACCCATCTTTCCCTAATATCATCAAAGAGGCTTTCTCTGATCATTCCACTCTCCTCCAATCCACTGACTCTTTTAAAAAAATTGTTACTAAATGGAACCAGGACACCTTTGGTAACATCTTCCATCAGAAGAGAAGAATGTTAACTAGAATTACAGGAATCCAAAGATCTCCTAACTACCAATTTATTAGCTATTTGCTAAACCTAGAAACCAATCTGGTTAGTGAGCTTAACTTAATCCTCAAGAATGAAGAGGATTTCTGGAAACTCAAATCTAGGATTAACTAGCTCAATGAGGGTGATGCTAGCACAAGATTCTTCCACTCAACAGAAGAAGAAGGAACAGAATCCTCTCTCTTATAGAAGAGAATGGAAATTGGCTCCATGATCAACATGATATCCAAATAGTCATAATGGGCTTCTTCACAGATCTTTACACCTCCTCCCACTGCCAAGCCCCAGTGGCAACCACCAGTCATCTCACTATATCCCACACTTTGTCTGACTCCCAAAGAGACATTCTAGACATACCTCTAGAGTTGGGTGAAATAAAAAGGGCAATCTTCTCCCCATAAATCCTTCAAATCTCCTAGCCCTGATGGCCTCCACCCTTTCTTCTATCAGAAATACTGGGACATAGTGGGTAACTCTGTCATAGATTTTTGAAAAAAATGCTTCTCCTCCAGCTCCATGGATGAAAACATTAACCAAACACTGTTATGCTTCATCCCAAAATGCCCTCAAGCATCAATGCTGAAAAACTTCAGCCTTCAGGCCAATTGGACTGTGTAACACAATATACAAGTCCATCACTAAGATTATTGTCAATAGAATAAAACCACTCTTGCCTCATATCATTGGGCCTAGCCAAGCCAGTTTCCTATCCAACAGGAAAACATGTGATAATGTCATCATTGTGCAAAAATACATCACTCACTTTAGGAAAATGAAAGGGAAACATAGCAAAATGATCCTCAAAATTGATCTTGAAAAAACCTTTGACAGGCTGGAGTGGTCCTTTATAAGGGACAATCCTCATGCCTTTAATTTCCCTTTTGGCTTGTCCAAACTCATTGTGTCCTGTATTAGTTCTTCCTCCATTTCCATTCTTGTTAATGGTGGGAAAACTGAATCTTTCAAGCCTTCTAGAGGCATAAGGCAACGAGATCCAACATCTCGCTACATTTTCATAATGTGTATGGAAAGATTATCCAGGGAGATTGATAAGGCATACTGGACAACCTGTGGCAACCCATAAGTATCAGCAGATCTGGCCCAAGGATATCTTACCTTTTCTTTGCAGATGACCTCACCCTGTTTGCCAAAGCAAACTCCAGAAACTGCAATACTATCCTTTCTATTCTTCAGAACTTCAACGAGCAGTCAGGCCAAAACATCAACCTTGCCAAGTCTAGAGTACCCTTCTCCTCCAATACATCCCAGGATTCTCTAAAGAACCTCACCAACTCTCTATCCATTCAAGCCACTACATCCTTTGGAAAATACCTTGGTTTCCCCATATTCCATAAAAAATCAACCAGTGATGACTTACAATTCATAATCGAGAACATGCAATCCAAGCTGGCTGGATGGAAAACAAGTTGCCTAAGCATGGCTGGTAGAATTGTGTTGGCCAAGTCCTCCTTAAACATCATTCCTAGTCATGTCATGCAATATATCAATCTGCCCACCAAAGTTACCAAACAAATTGACAAAATCCAAAGGAACTTTCTATGGGGCACCACTCTTGATAAGAAAAAACTATACCTAATCTAGTGGGATAAGGTCACAAAAAAGAAGGCAGATGGAGGATTAGGGCTTCAAAAAGCTGACCTTAAGAACAAAGCAGCACTCACAAATCTTGCCTGGAGGACTTCCCAAAATACCAATAGCTTATAGGCAAGAATCCTCATTCATAAGCACTGCAACCTGAGCCAAACTCATAGGATAACTAGAACCTCTAGATATCCTAGGTACCCCAAATCTCCTACATGGCAGTGCATCCTAAAGGGATGGGCCACTTGCTACAAAGCAAGCAGATGGATAGTTCACAAAGGAAATAGGGTTAGTTTTTTGAATGATGATTGCATTCCCAACCAACCGACAATTAGGAAATTGATTGAGGGCCCTCTGACTCAGAATGACCTAAATGCCAAGGTGGACTCAGTCTACAATTCAGGGGCTTGGGACTTATCCACATTAACCACGGATCTCCCCTAGCATCCTAAACTTGTTAAACTCTGTTTTCGTTCCTCCAAATCCTACAAAAGAGGACACCCTCATATGGGGTTTAACTACCAATGGCTATTTCTCAACAATTCTACTTACTCTTTCTTAAGAAAGGCAGATAGCAGTCTTGAAACTGATGAAGAAGGATCCTTCAAGTGGATTTGGAAGCTCCAAGCTCCCAATAAAATAAAGAACTTCATCTGGCTCCTTACCCATAGGAGACTCCCCACAAAGAGCTACCTCCACAAAATAAGGGTCAATTGTGATCCCTACTGCTTTTACTGCAACAATGGTCAAGAAACGATTGACCATATTTTCTTTGAGTGCACTAATGCAGTACACTTTTCGAATGACCTTCTCTCCAAAGCCTCTACTGAAAATAGACAGCAGAACCCAAGCTTCTCTGCCAATCAGTGGCCATCAACCTGGAATTCAATTAGGAATAAGCCTTTCAATAGCATCATTCTCTGGGACAACATCATCCCCTTCTGTTTCTAGCACATCTGGTTAACCAGAAACAACAACCTCGTTAACAACAAAAATGAGCATATCAACTCTTCCAACACCATCTCCAAAGCCACTGATATCTCGTGTTGACGAAAAATGGTTCCACCAAAATAACTCATCAAATCACAACCAAATGGGAGCCACCAAGAAGAGGATTCTACGAGCTGAATACTGATGGAGCAGCTAAGGAGAATCTAGGGATAGGAGGAGTAGGGGGAGTTTTCAGAAACCACAATGGAGATTGGATAATGGGATTTATGGTGAATATCCCCCATACAACCAACACTACGACAGAATTGAAGGCCCTCCTAAAAGGACTTCAACTTGCGGAACAAAATAACTTAGTTCCCCTTGAAATTAATACTGACTCAGGTGAAATTATCCAAATGTTAATGACAGGTAACCTCATTTATGATCCTATAATTTATGAATGTAGGTCCTTAATATGCAGGATGGACAGGGTCGTGGTGAAGCACATTACCGGGAGCCGAATAGGGTGGCAGATGCTTTGGCTAAGGAAGCAACAAAGGTAGTTTTTTTTTAACAGATCTAGTATACTAGCAGTTCCTCCGATGTTTGTCATAGATGTATTTTGGGCAGACATCCTAGAAACTGATTTGGTTAGATTTTTTTTGGGTTGTAATATGGAAACATTTCTACAAAACATTTCTGCAGTAGGGGTACTACAGTACCCAAATAATGACTGATCTGTATAATGTCTTTTGCTAGCTAGCTATATATAAATATCCCTTTTAACCCAAAAAAAAAAATCTTTTATGTCCTTATGCGTAATTTGACACTTAAAAACACTTTTTGAAAAACTGTCAAACACAAAATCATTGTTCAAAAGTGAATGTCAAACTGATTAGCCAAACATAAACTCCTTTATTCCAAAATTATTTTTCAAAAAGTATTATTGAGAATAAATTTTTTTAGAAACTTGACCAAACAAGCTATAGGTAATGTTATAGACTTCACTTTAAATTATCGATGCTATACCTAAATTAACAAGTGCACCTCAATTTCATCACCCTATAGACCATTTATTAGCACATTGTTAACAAAACAAAACTATAAATTAATTGTAACACTCAAGAATTAGATAATTTTAACCACCATCATTCAAATTAGGTAATCGCGACATAAATTTGGACAAGACGTTTAAGAAATTAAAAGCATGAGTTCCGGCTCGAAGCTCGCTTTGAAAAAGCTCATGCCAAAGTAAGACATTATAACCTAAGAGAATAATATACAGTAAAGACAACTACACCTTTGTCTCAAATAAGTTAAATGAAACTAAGAGAAAAATATAAATAAAAAATAAATATACACCTCTCTTAACTATGGATCGATACAGCTTCCTCAGTATTTTGTAACCTGATTCTGCAAGTCTATTGAGGTGAATTAAAATTGTCACTTCTTTCTGTTATGAATCTTTACAATGAATATCGAATATTTGAGATTTAGCATTTTCCACATTTGTAAAAGCAATATGTGATACCGTTATATACATGAACTACAAGCATAATCAACATTAAGGTCCGTCTACTTAGTTTTTAACTTAATTATCTGCAAAATAAATTTCAAATAGCTAGAGTTAAGTGATGAAAGTTAGTTTTTAACTTAATTATCTGCAAAATAAATTTCAAATAGCTAGAGTTAAGTGATGAAAGTTAGTTTTTAACTTAATAATTTGCAAAATAAATTTCAAATAGCTATATTTAAGTGATGAAAGTTTTAAGTAGCTAAAGAATGAAATCTCATATTGGTTTGGCACGGCCACTAGATACGGGTAAAAGTTGTTCTCCATCCTCCCTTGCAACCCAACAGAATTATGAAACTCCAAACAACAATTTTCAGAAACATCAAAAGAACGAAAAACATTAAGAGAAATCAATAATTAATAAAATAGATAAAGCAACAGCCCTCACACATTCATCTTTAGCAATAACTAATAGATGAAACCCTGCATAATCTGCACAAAGAATAGTGTTAGTCATGCACTAAACTGATGTAAAAGTGCAAATCAGGAAACTCAAACCCCAAGCTGTATCGACTCTTCAGACAACCATGGCATACAAAACAAAATATCATAGCCACAGTGAACTTACACAAGCACTTCATATATACGATAATACTTGCATTGTGGAAAGCACATGCTAATCAACAGCATCAACCCNATGACATTGCATATCATGAAACAGCTACATTATCGTTCCTTTGAATATTCTAATCAGCTCAACGTAAGGAAACAATAGTTCCAATATGTACAACAACCATCGGACAGCGCCATGATTTGGGCAATCTACGAAGGGGCTTAATGAACAAGTTAGTAGTCGAGCTGGGTTCTAGAGCAGTTGGATGGGCAGGCTAGAGAAAAGCTGCTTCAGGGTTTTGTCTGCAACCCAATGCCCCAGAAAAGAATGGGCCTCCCAGCAGCTTCATATGCCGCTAAAGGCAAGCGGAGAAACGCTCTGACATGGTGATTCCAGATACCAAAAAAGAGTGTAGGGTTAATGAAAGACCTGTCTCGGCTTTGCTCCTCCTCCAATTCAAAAAGGAATATGTAACTCAAATCAGCTGTCATCATCTACTGCACCTATATACGTGAGATCTGTCCTTCTAACCCTTACAGTGCCTTTAAGCCAGTTGGATGCCTTCAAATTGGCATTATCACTCCCACCAACTAAGGTAGAGTTACTTGATGATTGACTTGACCCTGCCCCATCCTCTAAAAGAATCCATGGATCCACCTCAAGATCATTCTCTTGCTGTGATGATACGTGCTTGGCCTTCCCGGACACACTCATGGCAGTTCGTAATAAAGAAACTGGAGTCCTCTGAGTTTGGTTCAAACCATTAGACGAGTGCAATACAGATATTGGGTTGCTGGGTAGAAGGGAACTGAGAGCAGCAGGTGCTACTGATGGGGGCTGACAAGATATTGACCACCGAACAGAAGGGAAAAGAATTGGCATGGCACTTTGGATGCGCCATCTGACTGTCTCGGGAAGCTGCATTCGATCCAATTCATTCTGCACCAATCAAGAATAGTAATGGAGCACTGCCTTGTAACTAACTAACAAACATACATCAGAGCCAGCCAAGGAATGGATAACATCCAAAAAAGACATTCTAAAACATTGGTTAATTGTCCATTTCAAAAGATCCAGGAGAACGTTTTGTTAGGAAATTCACCAACTTGAAAGAATCATTTATTGAGTCACAATAAGTAAAAAGCATCAAGCGCAGCCAAGAATCTACGGAAAGGGAGCATGGGATACTGCAATGAGCTATGAGAAGAGAGGTACTTTGCTTAAGAAGAGAAGTTACTAGACGTACTTGAAACACTACGACATTGTTAACCATTTTATTGGTAGCACTTGATAACTGTCTAACATGGGCTTCGGGAAGACAGGTTAATGCCAGAGGTTCACAAATATATTTTACAAATCAAGATCTCTCAGAAGCAAATCAGGGTAACAAGTGAGGAGGAGTGTTGAAGACCAAAGATAAATTTAAAAAACAACCCCTCTAGCAGCTAAACTTTTAGATAAGGTGGTCCATATTTAAACAATGAGAATCCCATAAAAATGAGTGTTGTTCCCGTGACGTAATCAACTTCTAATGTACAAGCACATCACAAAAAACACAACAATTAAAGGCACTTTCCATAGAGGAGTTGTGTGAAAATAGCGCATCAAAACCAACTGACTTGTTGCCCAAAATTATCTTTTATTCTTTGACTAGTAAGCCTTTATCCAAATTATTTCACCTACACTACAATTTTAGAGATCCCATTCCATCGCTATAGCCACCCCAAAAAACTATTTACATGATTTAAGATCCTCTCTCCCTTTCTGTTATGCACATGAAAAAAGAACTCCCAAAAAACCTGTGAGTGGGTTTTGTGTCTCTTTTTTTTTCCCTTGATAGGTAGTTTTGCCATTTCTAATTCTACCCTATACAGCAGGTATTGTCATTTGTAGTTCTACCCCTATACAGCAGAGGATATAAGTACCTCACTTTCTAATTTATATAAGGATTTAATTTATAATTACTAACAATTGTAAATGAATTTTTACACAGGCAGTGAAATTTGACCAGATATAGAAGGTTACTTGCCAATAATATATGCTATAGAAGTGAAATCCTTTATATAATAGTATACGTTTCGAGTAGTTCCCATTTCAAGCATGCGCTGGTGGTGGCTGCATGCAAGGTTCTTTACAAGTGTCCCAATTAGTAAACCCCATAGATAAAAGGAGTCCTCATTTACACCTGAAGTCTTGTTGTACTACTACTTATACTATATCCTATTTAAAAAATATTTTCAATGGCAGGTTAATATGGAGGAGGACAACATTTTATTTACATGCTTTTTCAGTTTGTAAAATATTTCCATTTCAAAGATTACCTTCATCATCAGGTTATCTAACTCAAGATATAGAGGTACTATTTAATTCTACCAGACTCAGCAATTAAAGGTCAAACAAAAAGCAGACCTGGAGATTCTCAGCTCCCTCACGCTCAAATGCAGAGTAGTCCTTGCTAGATTCACTGGATGATTTAGAGCTAGATTTCCCCTTGAGCCAACGTGGTTGGTGGCTACTCAGCAAACCATGCAACAACAGTAATAAACGATCAAAAAGACTTTCCAAGGACATAACAACAGAAGCAGTAGAAGAAGCCTCCACAAGTGAATCTAATTCTCTCTTCGAACTATAAGCTTGATTAAAGAAGTGGCTTGCATCTTCATGCACAATCCTACTTCCAAGGGTACGCAATATAACTGAGGCAAGCATGTATCTCATATTACGCCCTGACGGTTCCCTGACACAGCCAAATATGACGATTAGCATTGTACACACAAAAATCTTCTTACTTTGAAAGACAATATCTGCACACCACAATGGATATATTCTCAAAAATTGACAATTAATGGCAAGCAATTATGCATGTTACATGAAATTAACTTATACCACCAGAACACTCTTATCACTACAGTAGATAAGCAGCAACCTAACATAGAAACTTTATTTAATCGCATAAAACTAAGCTAGCATATAGACTAATCACTATTGAATTCTCAGGGCGTGGTATACTATTATATATAGCAATGGCTTCAATGAAGAAAACCAGAGGACAGAGTCACACAATATTATTACAGATAGTGGTATTTTGAGCAATGGCATAAACTCAACCCTCAATGTACTCTTACCTATCTGCATATATTATAGGGAATAATCTCAGGATGAACTGCAAGCGCAATGACAATGATGCTCGCAAAGCCACGGGTGAAGGTGGTACTGTTTCTGCCGGACCAGAGGCTCGTCTGGCTAACCCAGGACTGCTACCTCTTGTGCCCTTGCGGCTGCTTTTAGTTGTTGGACTTTCAATTCCAGAAGCAATTGTTCCAGCAGGCTTGCTCGCTTCACGAGTAACTGCATTAATCTGTTGCTCAATGTGGTTCATCTGTTTTATCATATCACTAGCAAATGTGCTTCTTGAATCATCTGAGGCTTGATCAAGACAAGGGAGAATTAAATCAACAAGAGCTCTCTCAGTGACATGCTGCTGACGGACAAGGAACCCTTCAACATCAACAGTATGGCCAGACCCCTTCACAGGCCGTTTCAAGGTAGTCCCTTCATCCACCACTTCTCCTTCTTCTATGGAGGAAACTTCAGATTTGAACTTCTCTCCCTTGCTTGTTGTGGGATCAGAGTTGGAAGGACACCATCCCCACGGCTTCCAATACTGAGCTCTAGTTGAAAGACCTTTACTTACAGCAATATTAATGAGCCGTTGACGAACAGATTTCCTTCCAAAAAGCACATCATGGCCTCCTAGAAACCATTTGGCCTGTAATAGCATGGAATCCTCAAGTGACCTCCCCAAAAGATGTACAACTTCAGAAAAAAGTGGAGCAGCATCAGGTCTAACAAGCAACCTGGTAAGGATCATTTCAATAATGTTGCTCTCGTTCTCAGAGACCGATGCTTTATCAGTGTTGGGCGAGAGGGCTCTTAAAGCTTCAACTAAAGAGAGATCATGGCCCTCCAGTTTCTCAATTACAGCTTGCTCGTTTAAGAGGAGCCTGAGCTCAATCCATTGCCAATGAAACTTGGCAGGCTGCAAGGTATCCAAAATGTATACGAGCTTATCCAGAAGTTTTGTCTCATTTTCAGCACCATGAAACTTTGACTCTCCTTGTACTCCCACCTGATTTCCATCATCCTGTTTAACAATTGGCTGAGGTATTCTACAATCAATAAGGGCGTTTAGGAAAAGCCGTGCACGGAGTGGCACAAAGGCAGAAGCCTTCGTGCGCAAGTCAACACCACTTGCTTCTAACAGGGATGCAAAATCAGAATCAACAGTATCCGCAGCTATGAGGTCATAAAGACTATGTGTGTCTCTCAAACATACTTCACGAAATGGCAAGTGCTTTATAACATCACCAAAAGCCAACAATAAAGAGTGATGTAATTGTTGAACCTCATCACGAGTCCCAGAACTTGCATTTAGAATCAATGGCCTCCACAGAACAAATGCAAACATTGAAAATGCAGGAGGGAAGACCAAGTTCAAAGGTAGCATCCGCTGCATTCTACATAGGGCCAGAATAGAAGCTTCACCCAGAAGGTCTACAATAAATCCATCAGAAACTGTTCTACAGTTCCCCACAAGCACCCTAAACCAGTGGACAGAAACTTCAGCCAAACTATCTGCCTTTAATGTCCCAACTGAACGTGCATTCCCATTTGAATTGGACCTCATACTCCTCATAAAATGGACAACGTCCAAACCATCCTTCAATCTGAAGAGAGAGACCATCCTCTCTAGGCTAGCAACTCCCTGAAGAATTGCCCCGATAACAAGTGCAGACACAGCTGCAGATATTTTTGCAGCCCGCCCAAGAGCTACTCTACTTGAATTGTTTAGAATATCACTGGGCGGATTAGAATCATTCAATTCCGGAGAGAGCTGAAACTGAGAACGAGGAGCTTTTCCAGGAGCAAAAACTGGTGCAAGGGCAGAGGACGTTTCAGTGGCAAGAGCAACTTCAAAGACACGGCTTTGACGCTCTCCAAGAGCTTCCTTAAGTATACAAAGACATATTACATGAATGCGTAAGATGCACCGTGCAAAATGCAATGAAGCAGAAGTGGAAGAGAAGCTCAGGTGATTATTACTGGCAGTCAAATCAGGTATCTTCGCTATGACTTGCCCGATATTACAAACAATTGCAGATATAGCAGAGGAAACCAATGTTGGATCTCCTTCCTGAGCAGCACCACCTGTCTGCCTCATGCAATCCATTAATCCCATTACTATCTGCTGACCGATCTGATAGACATCT